GAACCCGCGTCCCCTGCATCGGCAGGCGGACTCTCAACCACTGCGCCACCAGAGAAGCCCAGGACCCTTCTTTGTAAAGCCTGTTTTTTTAGACAGCTAGCTAGTGCCAGAGCTCATGATTTGGGGATTTTTGTGTAATATTTTCTAGGGTCTTTAGTCTAAAATGTTAACAGTAAACTAAATCTATGTTGCTAATAATTTGAAGTTATTTGCTTTGGGTATTACTTAATCCTAAGAATAACTCATCTAACTCTGAAAGAATTCTGTTTTGGGGTATCTTTAATCCATCTCAGAGGGTGAAAAATGAGCAGATTAGTTAAAAGAATAAAACGTAAAGGAACATGGATATCCCTTGGGAGGGCAGCTTCTCATTACCTTGAGAGATGTATTCCATCGCCAGGTGGCAAGGAGGAGAGGAGATTGATGGTCCCTTGGCAAACAAGGACTGCAAGTAGAGAGGGGGAAGACTGTTCCCACAATGCATTCCTTATCCCCTCAGGTGTCATCATTTACATCACATGCTATGTCTTCAGAGCAAAGATGTCCCAGCGGAGTCTCTGGGTTCAAAACCAACTGTTGATTATCATGTTATACTGATTGAGGATGTACTGTAACAAGAGTGAACTCCACCAATTTGCACACCAGTTATATTCCCCAAATTTTGGTTGGAAATTTAGAGTACATATTAAAAGCTTCCAGAGGGGAATACTATTACACCTGGACACTTCGGCCATGTTAAAGCCTACTGTGTCACTGAACCCTAGTGTTAGCAGGCTGCACTGCATTCTGGGGGTTGTGTAATACAAGAAAGAGGAGGGGACGTGTTCTTCACTTTTATTGGGTACAGGGCTAAATTTTGATAAAATTTGGAAGTGAATAGTGTTTGTTTTTGGATCCTCCCTCCCGAATTATGGTGCCTGTAACCTCTGAAGCCCAAGGTTATGACACAGGCAAAATCTCTGAAAAGTGGCTCTCAGGCCATATCTTTCCAAGTAAGTGTAGTGGACAAGGCATACAGGACTCCTAGGATAGGAAGGACATGAAAGGACGAACTGTGATGGAATATCAAAAGGGGATGCCAGGTGCCCGTCCAAGGAATGTGAACACAGGTCTTTGATTTGACCATTCTCTGTCACAATAAGACTCTTCAAAACATGGTCTGCTGTACCCTAATCATTTTAGTCCAGTGTTTGTTATCTCAAACTGTAAGGTCATTTGTGGGCGAACAAACTGCAAAACTGGACATGACATGAGAAGACCTAAAAAAATGTTTTACCCTTTTTTCTTGATAAGATTACCTTGTAGCATTCCTTATCTCTTCTTATCCCCTCTAAGATCTGTTTCTCGTTATCAATTTAAAATATTTCATTCAAAGTTTGGTTGATGTGGTATGCCACACTAAATATACTTAACCAAATAGAGGAAATAGGAAATACGATAAGTTATACCACAGAACTGGAAAAGGAATTCAGTGTCTTGTGTCACTACATTTGTTGACATTGGCCTTTCCATGATACTGGCTCCTTATTTATATTTATAAATCATTCCTATATTTCCCCAGATCCACCTCCTTGGCAGCTAACAGGCACTTTTAGACTAGATTTTAGGAGGTTCACAAATACCAGCAAATGGTATACACATTTTGTGTATCTGCATCAATGTGTGTTTTCTTTCCTGTGGAAAAGGTTTCATAGCTCTCATCAGATTTCCAAAGGATGGTATTTGTGATTAAAAAAAAAAAACGGTTTAGAACCACTGCTTGAGAGCTATCTCTTGAGAAATAATATACTAGGAACAGTATATAAACTTTAAGAAGTGCTAATTGGGCTTCCCTGGTGGCTCAGTGGTTAAGACTCCTCTTGCCAGGGCAGGGGACACAGGTCCGATCCCTGGTCCGGGAGGATCCCACATGCCGCGGAGCACCTAAGCCCGTGCGCCATAACTACTGAGCCTGTTCTCCAGAGTCCACGAGCCACAACTACTGAGCCCACATGCAACAACTACTGAAGCTTGCATGCCTAGAGCCTGTGCTCCGCAGCAAGAGAAGCCCACGCACCGCAATGAAGAGTAGCCCCCACTCACTGTAACTAGAGAAAGCCTGCACGCAACAACGAAGACCCAATGCAGCCAAAAATAAATTAATTAATTAAATAAATTTAAAAAAGAAGTGCTAAGTGATCTCTTTCAACTTCTAAACATTCAGTTGAGGTCATTAAAGGTCATTGTATCTTCCCCAAATAATATTATAGTCCAAAATGAAGTTATTGAGTGAGTAACCCTATAATATTAGAAATTCCACCAACTCCCTCTGTTCTGAAGTATCATCTTTTTTCAGGGAGAGGATGTGACTTTGACTTATATTTAAGTAGATTCAGTGTATTTTTCTCCATCAAAGAATGTCACTGAGATTTTGGAAGTTCAAGTAAGGAGAAAACAGACCAGTGGTTAAAATTGACATTTGCATTCAGTTTGATCACAGAGAGGCACAAAAGTTGAAAATGCATCTAACATCTTTTACTTTCTTTCTGCCACTGGATTCACAGGCTTATTGACAGCCCTAGGTCATTTGAGACCTCTATTACAACAGTTACATCAGTTTATCACTACTTGTTATTCATCTGTTTTCCCACTATGAACTCCTAAAGGGCAGGGTGTCTTATCTTTGTAAGACTTTAATAAATTTATAAAAGTTTATTAAATTAAACAAATTATTGGTATAGTTGAGAGGGTAAATTAATAAATGAATGAATGAATTTCTTCTAAAATGTGAGCCTAATTTGATGATAGGCGATTCAATAACACGTATATTTTAGAAAGTCTTCAGCGATTCTTGAAGAAGTAGCATGAAGTGTACAGTGAAGATTACATTGACTAATTTAGTTGTATAGCTAATGTTATTTAATTAAATATTTCTGATAATGCCTGAGGGGATTACTGCGAAAGCTGTCACTGCAACTGAAAATAAGGTTATTTTCAGGTTCTAGTAATGACGTCACTTAAAGAAATGGACATTTAAATTGCAATTTTGTCTTCTGAGTAGAATATTTTTCAAAACGATAGTTAGGTTTTTCCATTTAGAAGAAGGCATTTAGTTATGTTTTTGTACTGACTTCTTGCAGAAATTCTAGCATCTATTTAAGTAGAAGAGTATATGAAATTAATGGGTTTTAGTTTAGCCATTCAAGAGAAATAAATGCATGGAGTTAGGACAATACATGAAATCTCAAGGTATCTACATGAGTAAGTGGTTTTAGAGAGGATTGATATATTTAAAAGAACATGGGATAATTCATAATATGGGATCATGGTAATACCTCTGATATTTGTTGTTTGCTTTATCTCAGTGTCTAATTATGTAAAATATTTTAATGCCTAGGATTTCACGTGCCAAACTTAATAATTTTTCTCGCTTGGAGCCCACACTTCACCTTCTGGGTGTGCAGTTTGATCAGAACGTGGCCCACAATCTCATCACAGAAAAGCCTGGGGCAGCCACAAAACTCTTATATCAATTGTACATTGCTCTCCAGAGAAAAAAGAAAGGTGTGCTGACTGGAGTGGAAATGCAAACCATGCAACCCCTGACAAATACAAAAGTTCAAAACATGAAAAGCGAGACTTTTCGAGATGTAAGTACATAAAGAAACATTATAAGCATATCACAATATAAAGCTTGCTAAAGGGACACAGCAGTGATGTTGCATTCTCAAAGAAGCCGCATCTGGCATATATGTCCCTGATGTATGTTATTGGCCATATTTGGGTTTTATTTTATATTAATATTTTCAATTCATTTATCCATTTTTGATGCCTCTCTCCATCCTATCCACCAATTGCCAATAACTTATCAACTGTTTGCTCCTAATTCCCAGTGCTTTTATGCCTGCTCCTCTCTTTTCCATTTCTACCCCTATCCTATCTGCTCAGACCTCCTGCTGAGCTACTGCAGTAACCTACTAATGCGGCTTCCTACCTTCAGGCTTCCTACTGGAGGTTAATCAACCGCTAGGTGAATCTGCCCTCAGTTCCACTTTTGTTGGTTTCTTCTGCTCAGAAACCTTGCTAATTTACAAATAATCTTGTCACCAAATTAGACTAGCATCCAAGTTCTTTCACTAAAGAGTCTCATTCTGTCTTTCTAACTTTATTTCTTCATAACCCTCAGCATAAAGTCTTTCTTCTACATTGATTGGCAGCCTGTCCTTGAATAGGACTTGTGTATTTCTGTTCTTCCCTCTCTACCACCCAAGCTCACCCTTCTCCTCTCTCCGCTTCCCCCAAACTTTCCTCCGTCTACTCTGTGCAGCCTTCCCAGTACACATGGACTCTTTCTGCGGAGCTCGCAGGGCACAGGTAATTGTTACTCTTTGGTGTTAACCTCCTGTTACTGATAGTATTGACTAACTTTCATTATTTATCTGTCATATGGCCTCACAAGATTTTTAGTTCCTCAAGTTCAAGAAATATGCCTAGTACAATGCTTTCAACGTTGCAAATACTCATTAAGTGTCTCTTGATTATTTGATACAACTCTTTAGTTGACAAATCTCTGTAGCTCCTGTGCTGTTTCCTTATGATAAGTGAAGGCCATTAACTTTTCCAGGTCTGTAGGATAATGGGGAGTACTGTACTGATGTAATGCACAAAAATAAATGAAAATAATTAAATTTTAAAGTTTAATTTATGAAGCAGCAATGACAATAAATGTGAGAGCTACTTCCAGTTTTAGATTTGTCTACTCTTGGTGACATCCTCATGAGTCTGGTAGCAGAATGAACTCAGCACCCACAGAGAGCTAGAAATTAGATTCGGCTGAAAGTCAATAACTTAGTATCTCATCCTGCTTCCTTCCCGTGCAAGCTTGTTAACTTTGGGTCAGTCCCTGGAACAGTCTCAGTCTCACTTTTTCCAACTGTAAAAACAAGGATGTTTATCTCTACCTGCCTGAGAGTTAGGTTTTTTGGTAACTTCAAGAAAAACAATATATAAGAAAATTCTTTTTAAAGTATAAAATAGTCAGTGTAAACAAGTGCTACAAGTTCTGTGGAGCTGAGTCCAAACAAAAAAACATTGGGTTTAATGTTGGCCACGGTGACTTTCCAAAGTCAATTACTCATTTATTGAACAAAGATCTGTTGGGCTCCTACTTTATGTCAGGCACTCACAAGTGAGTAGTACAGGAAAAAAACCAATTCTCTTAGAGCTTACATTTTGGGGAGAGAAAAATATTTCAGCAGAGTGGTGTGGATTGCAGTGGAGATGAGGAAGAATGGAGCATAGACTATTCTTTCAAGACACGTGGAGATAAAGGGGAAGAGAGAATAACAGTAGCTGCAGGAGAGAAGCTCAACAGAAGTGTGAGATTATTTGTTCATTTTATGGACATGGAGACTGGGACAACTTGGCAGTTGAGAAAAAGAATCAGTGGCAGGTGATGAGTGGTGTGAGGACACAAGTGGAAGGAGAGCCTCTGGGGAAGAAAAGAGGAAGAATGAATCAATGGTTCAGATGAAGGAGGAGATATCTTATGAAAAAAGTAGAGATGCCTTTTCCTTTGATATAGATGGAAGAAGATGCAGGTGTCTATTACATATTAATATCAATAATGATGAAAATTTATTGAACATACATAGTGAGATGCCAGGCCCTGTTCCAGGTGTTTTATGTATATTATCTCATTTGACCTTCACGACCATCTTCTGAGATAGGTACTTTTATTATTCCCATTTTACAGATGATGAAACTGAGAGAGATTAAGTAACTTGCTCAACTTCATGAAGCTAGTAGGTAGTAGAGCTAACCCTCAAACCTAGGCACTCTGACTCCACACATTTAACAGTAGGCTATTTGATGGCTCAACGGATATTTCCTGGGCTGGGGGGAAATAGAATTAAGTTGAAGAAAAAAAAAAAATATATATATATATATATATATGTTGAAGTGGGGTGGTAGGATATTGAAAGACCTTACATGTTCGTTGCCACTGTGAAGATGGAGGCCAGGACATTTTTAACAGTGAAAGGAGCAGAGGTTGTGTGTAAGTGCTTAAAGACAGCTCACAGGGCCTTAACTGATCTTCTGAGTAAGTGTCAGTATCTACTGAGGCAGTTTTAGAAAAGAAGGACCAAGAATGGTTTGAGCAATGGTACCATTTAAAAAAATTTTTTTAGTAAGTCATCAGCTTTTAAGTAGATTACTTTCGAATATAAAAGTTTTAGTTAAATACGTTAGCCACTGCTCTGTGTCCCACTTCACAATCATCACTGAGAGTTCATTTTCTTTTACTACTGTACCCTCATTGCCAGTGGCCTGGAAGTTTTCATTATTTCTTCACTTTTTACTAGGAAGTGGCTTAAGTAATGGAAAGAATCTAGCTTCTTATATTATCTCTTTTATGTTGAAATTGGTGTTATAAATTATTTTTATGAAAATGTATTTGTAAGGATACAAATACCATTCATTGAAAATTAAACTCAGGGCAAAAAGTTTCATCATAAAAGCATATATCATGCATTTTTATTGTCCTTACATCAATTAAGTGTGTGAGTGATTGGTATGGGACTTGAATTTGCTTTAGCCATCAACAGTAGTAATTCATAGAAATTTTATTTTGAAGGCAAATTTTATGTGTGCTTATAATGACAATATACTCTTTTTTCTCTAATAATGGAATATTCTTGAAATGCTTTCTTCATTTAGAGACATAGAAACCTGACACCACGTCAAACTGATTTCAATCTGATGCAGGTTACACATAGGTTTCAAGAAAAGTATAAACACACGAACGAAGATCTTGTTCACATGCATTTTGAGAAACTTGAAAAATTTCAAAAACTCCAGGAAGAACAAAGATCTTTTAAAATCTAAAAGGTTTTGTAGAACAATTTTTCCAGAAACTCATTAGTGCATAGTATATTGTTTGCCACTTATGTCTATATTACGCATTGCATAAGCATGAATCCAGCCCGAGCTGCCAGTTCCTAATACATGCCTCATGCTCTGCCTGCTCTCACCTTTCTCTCCCTCACTTTTCCCCTTTCTCTGTCTCCACCTTTGCTGATGGTCGCATCTCCCTGCGGCTAAGAACTAGAACTGCCATTCTTTGGAACAGTGGGACAACTTGACCTCTTTTTAAGTTGTCTGGTAGAAATGAATGCTTCAGATGCTTTAGTGATATGAGGGAAGGTTGCTACCCAGAATGAAAATACACACATTTGATTGGCATAATTTGGGGATTCCAAAATTGTGTTTCAATATCATGCTTTTCAAAATAAGTTATATTGACACTTGCTTCCTAACATTACACAGTTGTAACACCCAGTCCATTGGTTAATTGCTGAGTTCTGAAAATTTCAATGGAAAATTTGTGTACCTGTGTACCTGTGAGTGTATAATATTGCATATTATTCTGATGAACTGAATAACTAAACTAATGTGTATGGAATATTTAGCAACACTTGAGCAGAAGACAACAAAATGAAATAATGGCTAAAATCCAAGCAGCTGTCATACAGATTCCTAAACCCGCATCAAACCGTATTCTGAAAGCACTTGACACTCAAAAAACGTTGAAAAAGAAAAAAGAGGCAGAGGTAAGTGATAACCCTTTCATAATGTGTTGTGTTTATCTTAATGAAAGGATGATCTTTCCC